AGCACCATATTTATTCAATAGGATAACGTTTCGCACCGATGTTCATAATTGAAATTTGCGGTTTCGGGGCCACATATCACCTCCTCGTCATCAAACCTCTTATTTTTGTAGATATTTCTCATACAAGATTTATGGGCTTTATAATCAAATTCCCACTGAATTGAAAATTCTCCGTCTAAACCAGTTTAAAATCAAATATAAAAATGTATTTTTGAGAAACACTTCACTGCGAAAATTCATTTTTTGTACTATCTTTCACTTTTTTATCAAGGCTATCTAAGGTAGATCTTTTTTTATAAATATGTAATAGCTACTTGGATCATTTTTAAATGCTTTCACCCCTTTTTGCTGTAACATATTTCATTTATGTATTTTGCTGCAATGTTCTTTTCACCTAAAATGTATGTTGCAAATAAACGATATTATTAATATCAAGTAGATTGACTAAAGTGTATCTAACGAAGCTACAAAGTAATCGTAAACAGTGGTTGATTCGTGATCAACGCGTGATCGGTAGCCATGGCGCTCTGTCGGCCTCTTCCTGATTGGCTTGTAGCGACGAGCCTCCAGACAAAGTCGCACGGTTGCCACGCTCGGCGAGTTTTCGCCAGAGTGGTTGATCACATTCGCATGGATCACAAATCAATCTGTTGGTGCAATACGTGCAATAACTGTTGTAAAGGACATTATATAACAATAAATGGCATCACAAAGGTATATTCCAATTTGATCTGCAGCAAATTATGAACGGCATATACGGAGATGCGAAAACAAGCTCAAAAAGGTGAAGAAAATTTTTGTGCAATCTTTATAGTTAAATTTTTCCTAAGAGATAGCATCAGTGAGGGAATTTTTTTCTATTGTCTTATTTTTCACATTAATGCGATGTCGAGGTATGTGGCCCTATCGCAATTGAAAATAAGGTTTCGATAATCCTTCCATAAAGTTTCGATGAGTACATCTGAAATAACCTTGAGATATTCTTCAGGGAAATACAAAAATCTCCTTTGTGTTTTTTTGTGCAGATTTATCTATTAAAATCATATCCGCAATCTATTTTCCGTGCACACACCTTCAACCGAATGTATGCCATATATGATATTACCGTTTCCAACTTTCACCAAGGTTAATAGGAACCATAACAGCTCCCTACCCTTCCCCCCTATAAGAATATCGATTTGTAGCCTCACATTTCAAGGTTAGACTTCTTGTAATGTTTCTGTTCAACATTCGGCGATTTCTGACAATTTTCCCAATAAAACATGATCATTGTGACATTAAGCCTGGCAACGCTGCATAGTAGAGGGAACTCTCAGCGAAACGTTGATGGTTCGTCACCACGCACAGGATTGTAATCAGTTACGGATACCCGTTTATGAGCGCGAACGTTTTATGCACGTCTTGACTTGATTTTTCTTGCGGAAATTTAATATTAGTCTAAAATGTCTGACACAGATACAGCTGATGAAGTGGTTGAAATCAGCTTAAAGCCACCCAGCAAAAGGGCTAAAAAGCTTCATCTTAGCGCAGGTGAAAAACAAATTATTCTAAATATTTACCAGAACCAGATGCAAGAGAAAAGTGGATTGGCTATAGAAAATATCGTATGTAAGATTGCTGAAATTTCTGGAGTAGGTCGATCAAGTGTTTACAAAATCTTGAAGGAATATAGACAAAATCACTCACTATCTGAGCCAAAAACATATCCAGCGAGAAAAAAAATCATCGAAAAAATAGATGACTTTGACAAAAGTGCCATTAGAAGAAAAGTACATCACTTTTTCTTCAGGAATGAAATACCTACAATAGATAAAATATTGAAGCAAGTGAATGATGATGAGGACCTGCCAAATTTTAAAAGATCTACGTTCCATAAGCTGTTGAAAGAACTAGACTTTCGATTTTTGAAAAGAGGAAGGAATAGTTTATTGATAGAAAAGGAGGAAATTGTTATCTGGAGGAGGGAATACCTTAGAAAAATTAGGCAATTCCGCGCTGAAGGAAGAAAAATTTATTATTTAGACGAAACATGGGTGAACGCGGGGCATACGCAGGGAAAGGTTTGGGTAGACAGATCTGTGAGGTCCTCAAGGCAGGCTTTTTTAGATGGCCTTTCGACGGGATTGAAAAATCCTGCAGGTAAGTTTCGAAGTATATGAACTTTTTTGGATGCAGATAATTCATTTTCTGATCGAATCAATGATTGGAAGCTCCGAACTCAGTTTTGCTATCTCATCCAAGTTTCTGAGTATTTCCTTCACCCAAAAACTAATCTAAGACCCTATCGTACACTAACTTAAAAAGAGTAAGTTGCTTAATTTCGTCATTTAGTGCGCTCGCTGAGAAGTAAAATAACTAATTACTTTCAGGCAAGGGAAAACGCCTGATCATTTGCCACATAGGTAGCGTAGATGGATTTGTTCCTGAAGCATTGTGGGCATTTGAATCCAAAAAAACTGGAGACTAGAAGAAATGGATGGTAACTCATTTGAAAATTGGTTCAAAAAATTTTGCCGACACTTGATGATAACGCAATTATTGTGATGGATAATGCCCCGTACCACTCCAGAAAATTGGAAAAAATTCCAACAATGGCCACCAAAAAGGCAGACATTCAACAGTGGCTTGTCTCAAAGAAGATCGACTTCGACCAAACAATGGTCAAAGCTGAGCTGATAAATATAGTCAAGCGACATAAGTATAAATATGATTTAAAAATTGTTGACGAAATGGCCAAAAACCAAATAAAACGATTCTCAGGCTGCCTCCCTATCACTGCGAACTGAATCCTATCGAGTTGATTTGGGCCGACATCAAGCAATACGTGGCGTCAAATAACAGCACTTTTAAGTTTTCTGACCTTAAAAAACTGTTTGATGTTGCTGTCGATAGTTACGCCAGCAAAATGGAGAACATGTATTGACCATGTCCAAGAGAAGGTTGAAACCAAAATGTGGGATATGGACAATATCATTGACACCCAAGTTGAACCCCTTATAATTGACATCAACAATTCTGATGATTCAAGCTCCTCGGAATACAGCAAATAAATCGATTGATACCATTAAGACTGGCAGTTTAACGGCCTTTTTGGCAAGACAGGTAAGTTCATTATAGACTGCAATCAAAGTGTAAGTTTCTAGTTATTAATGTGGAAATTCCAAATTTATAATTACACAAAATTAGGGTTAATTTAGGAGTTCCAAAGCATAATAGTGCCATTTTGACCTTCTTCCTATTTCTCATGTAAATTTTAATAGCAATCAAACTAACAAACTTTATGGAGTCTGTAATAAACTTTTGTACTACTACTACTACGTCTGTAGTTTCTATTTGCTCAAAAAAATTTGCTCTGCATTGTGAATAGAAGGTTGATTTGTAAATATTATTGGGTATATATGTAAGTTAATAATAAAATATGAACAATTTCAATTGAGATGGTCCACAAGCTTTTTTCGTGTGCGTTTTAGTAACATTTTGCTGAAATGGTGAATACAGAATTTTTTGCACTGATTCCTAATGTCGAAATATGATTAGAAAGGCGTGGTATATTCCTGATAATTTACTATGCTTTTGATAGAATTTACAGCAACACATATCTTGTACGACATTTTTTGATAGATCAGTCACAATAGCTTGATACGGCCCTGTAGTGTCTCCTACGGTTAAGTTCTTGATCACGTGCAATACGGGTGTATATGTTTGATTTTACTTTGTTTCTTCGATGGATACAGTTTAGTCTTACATCATGATTGAAACGATAACATTCTCACGAAAATGTTGATAAGTAATGAGAAAAAATTAATAATGTGTTGGGCGACCCTGCAGGTGAATACACTCCTGTATACGTGTAGGCATCGACAAAATGAGATGATCGATGTCTGCTTGTGACACCTCATTCCAAGTAACTCGAACTGCATGAATTAGCTGTGGCAGAGTCGTTGGCGGATGGTGCAAAGTGGATACTCTCCTCCCCATCATATCCCACACATGTTCGATGGGATTTAAATCCGGTGAACGGGGTGGCCACGGCAAAACATCAACGCCTGCTTCTTGAAGAAAGTCCGTAGTACGACGAGCAATATGGAGACGTGCGTATTGCCTTGAACAAAGAGAAGGGGTGATCCGCTAGCATAGGCACTAGCTCCCCAAACCATAACTCCAACAATCCTGTGTACATGCCTCTCAACAGCCAATCCAATATCACGCCGTTCTCCACGGTGGCGGCGGTGTATTACCCTTCTACGACCATCGTGCGTAGACGCTCTGTGGTACGCCTCGGTGGACCAGTTGGCCTTCGTCGTGTTCTGTTACCTTCTTCTATCCACACACGACACACACACATTACCGTCATCACAGTACAATTAACACAGCGACCAATTTCGCGATAGGACAAAACAACATCTCGATAGGCAATAATTCTACCCCTGTCAAGTCGCTAACATGGTAATAATTTGGACGTTTTCGAACACGAGGCATTTGGTTATACTTAACACCAGTAAATGAAAAGGCAATAACTAAAAATATATCAGCTCTAAGAAACTGCTTTCACAAAAACTAAGAGATAACATTTTAACAAAGGTAAACAAAACAAAGATAAAACGTTGACATTCAAATATAGCAGGTGTTGCATCTGAACCCAACAGTAAGTTAAATATTCGAATTTGGGTAATTTTAGACAAAAGTGTCATAATTGCGAACTATCGACTTGTCAGCTTTGAAAACAATTTTTCCAAACAATACCAATTGCAACACTTGCTCAATTATTGTATGTCCAAGCTGTTCCGAAAATAATTAAAGTTGAGTCACTATATTACTTTTCTTAAATAATGTAGTTTATTTCAAGATTCTTATTTATTCAAAAAATATATATAGTTTTATATAAGGGTCAGATTGACCCTTGAGTGGTAACCATGTAAAATTTATTTTGGACAATTACCAAGGGTTGAGCTTCTAAAGAACAATCAAGTACTACAATGAAAAGAAGAATGTTTACTTACGTGTTTTGTCCTCTGGATCTTTTGATGATATCCCCGTTCCTCAGCGAATTTTTCTTGTGAAGTGGCTGACTGACAGAAACATAACCAGACGAATTTGGTGAAGACCTACAGTAGATTGTGCTTGGAGGGTTGTTAACGAAATTTTGTGATTGTACGTTGTAGTTTGGTGCCTGTATATAAGTTTGTTCTTGAATGTGTTCCGACGAATTCAAGTAATTCGTCAGCTGGGATTTTTCCATCTTTGGCGGAAAACTGTAACAAAAAAGAAACTGTTGGAAAATTGGCCCCACATAAATTTGCAATAAAATACAAAAGTTATATAAACAATGGACCAGTTTCGTGATATCCAGAATCGCATAAGTAATAACATACGAGCAAAATATAGACTAAATATGATCAGCCAGTGAAAAAATTATTGAAATCGGCCAATAAATGACAGAGAAATTGATACTTAAATTTGGCGTATTATAGCGCGAAATCATTGGTGAAGTTCGTTCGCGACTGACGTAACACTTCTCTAGTGCCCAGCATCTCGTCGCGTAGATGTTCGACAGCGTCTGCGCGTTTAGTCATTAGTCTATAGACAATTCACAAGGCACACCTGTGCGCTCGAGCACGGGGGGGGGGGGTTTAGTCAAGCACGAATTAGTGTAAGGAAAGGAGTCAACATAGGCTTACGATTTTATAAATCAATGTAATAGAAAAAAATGTATGACATTATTGTAGAGCTATAGAGTTATTCATCTATGTATATGTGTAAATATAATGTGGTAAAAACCTGAGAATAACACCTTTAACTCGAAAACTTTGACCTGTACTATCAAAAAATAATCTTCTAGATTTTTTTCCGATAAAATGTTTAGGAAGTGATCAGGATCGAGAGCAATATCCCAGTGAATAGAGATCATAGCGACTGAACTCAATCTTTCATGGCACATAACACTTCGCGGTAGAGTTTTAATTCTTTTCATAGTGGAAAATGATCTTTCTACACTAGCTGTTGTCACTGGCAAAGTGGCTAAGGTAGTTAGAAGTATTCTGATAGGTACCGTGAAAATAATTTCCATTGCAATACTCCAACAGTTTTAAAACCCCGGTAACTGCCGTTGATGATATCTTATCGTCGAAGTATGGCGCTAAGTTGTCTAACTCATCGGCTTTACTCACATTAGCAAATATATATAAATAATAAAAGAATAATGAAGGTGAACAAGAAATAAATGTCCAATATTGTAGCGATAAAAGAAAATACCATAGGTACGAAAGACGTCTTTTTATAGTGGTAAATGAATGCTTATCCCTACTTCCCTACTAATATTATAAATGTGAAAGTGTGTATGTTTTTTTGTATGTTCCGCTTTCACGCCAAAACGGCTGAACCGATTTCGCTAAATTTTAGCACAGATATAGACTAGACCTCAAGAACGGACACAGGCTAAAAATTTTCAATAGTTTGTTCCATATATTTACATAATATGATTGAGATCACTTGAATTTTCTCAGTTTGTCTTCTAGGTTTAAATCTGAAAAAAAAATTCTTTCGGAATTTCGGGGGGGAGGGGGGCTACGTGCCTGATTAGGGGTTGTAATTGTTGTGCTCGTACATTTTGGAACGGTACAGTATTTGTAACAACCTTTTTTCTTATTTCGCTCATAACCGATCGTATATTTTTTTTTATACTCCAACTACCACGAAGGCCTAAGGCCTAAGCACCCATTGGGTACCGTGGGGCTATAGGGGGATACATGGGAAAGGGGGAACGCCACACGGACTCTGGCGAGGGAACACGTGTGCATGCAACATGCACACATTCTGGCTCCGCCTACGAGATCCGCCGGGTGGTACCTCCGCGTTCGACAGTCAGAGACCATCTACTACCTACGGACAATCACAACATCCATAGCCAAGAGAAAAATTTCTCCTGGGACGGGACTCGAACCAGCACAGCGCACGGCGACTGATCAGGAGACCGAAGAGTCTACTACTGCGGCCACCGCTGCTGCCAACATGCTGTCAACAATTAAACAAATTGGGGCGGACGACGTATAGCCTACCATGTGTGCCGCTGTATGTATGCCTATGCATGTGTATAGGAGACTGAGCCGGCTCGGGCCCAGGAATCGGCCGCGGGCGTTGCAACTGGATAATGAAGTCTGACGTCACGCGTAACGTAGGCTGTAACTGTTTTGTTTTTAAGAGATAAATTAATAATTTTTTCAACATCTTGTTTCATTTTTTCTAAACTTTCATTTCAGCTAATAAGAAAAAGATGGTGAACTTGTCCATTGAAAGATTTTTTTATAAGCTTTCATTAGCTGTAATTGAAAAATGGCATCAGGTACATTGACTCTATACTTCCTAAGCCTTCGTTAGAAGTTTCTAAGAAAAGGTATGAGCCAAATTGTTTTAAAAGGCGAAATCGAATCCTGATTAGGTAGGTTCACTTAGGTACGATGAATCTTCAATCTCTGCATATCAAACTATACTAAGTGACATATAAATCCGAACACCCAGTTTAAATGGTTTTATTTTAATAAAATTTTGTATAAGTACTTAATGAAGCATAATAAGTAAATGATTGCACTGCTTTAAAGCCCTTTGACCTTTAATAATGTGTGGATGCACCCTGATGTGCTACGCATTCTCAAACGCGCCTAGGCATGCTTCTGATCAGGTGGTCAATGTCCTCTTGTGGTATCTCATTCCAGGCATCCACCAACTCCTCTCGAAGTGCTGCTAGAGTCTGAGGAGGACGTTGCAAATTGAGCAATCTCCTACCCATCATATCCCACACGTGCTCAATTGGGGATAAGTCGGGAGATCTTGGTGGCCATGGTAACAATGTGACATCATTATGTTGAAAGAAGTCTATTGTGACTCTTGCAATATGTGGTCGGGCATTATCTTGTTGGAAAGTTGGATCTGCCAGGGTGTCAAGATAGGGTACAAGATGGGGTTCTAGAACTTCGTGGATATAACGCTGCGCGTTCATGTTACCTATGATGAAGATTAAAGGTGAACTGGAACCATAAGCTATAGCACCCCAAACCATAACTCCAACAGTGTGATGAACATGTCTTTCAACAAAAAACTGTGGATTCCTCCTTTCACCACGTCGCCTTCTAACCCTGGCACGACCATCGTGCATGCCTAAACAAAATCGAGACTCGTCACTAAAGACAATACTGTTCCATTCCTGATCCCAGAGTGACCGTTGTCTGCACCACTCAAGGCGATTACGTCGGTGTTCTCGAGTTAAAGGGAGGACCCAGTGTGGCCGGTATGAAAACAAGCCAAAACTTCTCATTCGTCGGTAAACACTTCGCATGCCAATAGGTCTTCCGTGTTCTGCAAACCATTCATTTGCAATGGACCTGGTAGTGGAGAAACGGTCCCTTAAGGCCAATAATCTTAGGAGGCGATCTTCACGGTCTGTTGTTCTACGGCGGCGTCCAGTGCCCCTTGCTCTTTGCGTACGGACTTCTCGAAGCCATGCCTGACAACACCTAACCACAGTGCCTACACTTCTTTGCACTTGCCCGAAAAGAAAGTCCAGCTTCCCGAAGTCCCACTATACGGCCCCTATCAAACTCACTAAGTTGACGAAATCGTACAGGTCTCCCGTACTCTAGGCATCGTAACCGATCGTAAAGGATGTCAAGAACCAAAATCCGCCAACGTTGATTCTTTACTGCGGCTGAAATATTCATTTTTAGAGCGTAAGTGAATTAAAAAAAAGCAGTATAAAAACCGGAATGTCCAACTGATAAGGCTGAAAATTTTTTCACTTGTTATTTACAGTAAGATAAATACATTCACCAACTTTTATTAAAATAAAACCATTTAAACTGGGTGTTCGGATTTATATGTCACTTAGTATATATAAAGCAAATTTATCATATTTCTGTTTTCTGATAGGGAAATATGTGCCACTTATTATGTCTAACAAGTGCACAGTATCACTGAGATCAGCAGTTTCTTAATAATGGAAGATCTTTCACTGACATCCATAATATGCAACAATTAACCACGATTTTCCGCTTACAGCGTCCAACCTACAGTTTTCATCCCAAGTGGTATATATCCAAATATTGCTAAAATATATAAATATTTCTCCTGTAGCGGTGTGTCAGTGACGACAACACCGCAGACCAGTCGGCAGTGACCTCCACGACGATGCAGCATCGCGCCGTGGACGATTGCTAAGTTCTTCCGAATTATGAGCAAATTATACATCGGACTTTTATCATTTAATTTTGCCATTGTTACCGGCATCAGAAACTTCTTAGTAATAGAACGTATTTAACTAATACTAAAGATGTTACATTTACAACCGCCTACCCCCTTCAATCGCCAACCACCAAACTGCACGGTTTAGCTTAGTATCAAAAGAAAGTTGTCAGTTTGGAATTCATTTTTTTTCCTAATACCAAGTGCCCTGCGACCACCCCGCCCATAACACGGAAATGTATCTTGCATATCAGCTGTAAACATCAAAACGTGATGAAGAATCTTAAATAGATTATCAGATCACTCTGTATAGTACCTAGGAGTGATACGGATAAACAAGATACTTTCAACCGTAGCTACATCGACTTTCTTCACAGAAAAACCATCATACAATTTCATCGATTATTTATTTTTATTTTCCGTTAAAATAAATATATGCAGTAGTGTCGTGAAAGTGCTGTAAACGAACTACATCCACTTCCTTTAACAACGCCCGCTCGAATGGCCTGTTATTTTGTTTATTTACATTTTGTATATACACGACATACAGGATGTATGGTATAAAGTTATTATTTACTCATTACATGCTACATTAATAAACTGATGTCGATATTTATATTTTTATTGTGCTACTATGCTGCGCACATTTGCCTTAATACCACATACAGCTTTTCGCTTAGTTATAAATATATAGGTCGAGAAAATTAGGAAAGCTGTTAAATTAGATCAAAAATGAAGCTCATAGGGGCGTTATATACAGATGTTACCACGAGCATTATATACGCGGATCATTATATAGGTAGTGCCCCATTCCTCAAATGGACTGTGATTTCAGTAAGCAAGAAATTAATTGAAATTAAAGAATTAATAATACGGGTATTGAACTTAAGGTTGAAATTTTTCTGCGATAAGGTGCTTGTTTTGGACATAAAATCGACCCATTTCTTTTTTCGTATGCATAGTAATTTTTTATACCGAAGCAGACGCGCAGGCAGAAGACTAAATACCAGGGCACCGCGGC